ATATACAATTTTATTTATTCTCTCGTAGCCCTACAGACAGGCTAACATTTGGTGCCGTGAACTCTGGTTAATTCTCGTCTGTACCTCATCCTTTACAACGTTTTCTTCTCTTCTACTTTATGTCTCTTTCTTCTGATGAAGATTCAGTACCGAAGACACTTCTAACCATACCCACTGAATACCAATCTACCATTCCAAAATTATCTTCTACTCAACTACCACTCCAGACGAACACAATGAACACTTCGAGTCAAACTCTTTTCGATAGTCCTGCCAATGAGATGGAATTTAAACAACGAATTATAGCGGCGCTTCCGCTTTACAATGTTGAATCTGAACATCTTTCAGACTGGTTACGTGATGCTGGAGCATTTTTTTCCACTGAAAGTATTTCCGATGCTCATCAAGTCTTTGCTATACGTTCTCGTCTTACGGATCAAGCTCTCGATATATTTAGTGCTCATGAAGATCTCATTCACAATTTCTACGATCTTCGCAAGCTTCTTTTACAGACAGCTGGTAAAGCGCCTTTACGTACTCTCGCATCACTTGATTCAATCTCCAATGTCACTTTCAATATGCCTCAGCCCGTCGCTGATTCAACACGTCTCGATTCTAATCAGACTACAACTACATCTTTACCTACACCATCCATAACATTTACTCAATCGGCTGATGATTTAACTCAAAACGAATATCGCAAGTCCATTATTGCTCAATTTCAAGAAGATAAATCTCTCAAATTTTCTGGTGACAACAAACAAGATGTACTTAAATGGATCGAAAAATTGGAACGTAAATTCGAAATCGCAGAAATTAGCGATGTTAAAAAATTCGATTTTTTGACTGAATTATTAGACAAAGGAGCTCTAAATTGGTTTCTGGAACGAAAATCATCCTTTAATCGATCGTGGTCCGCTTTTGTTGAACACTTTAAAAAAGTGTATGATTCTCCGAATCGGTCGTTACTTGCATTTCAAAAATTACAGTCGTATCATCAATCCGCAGATCAAGATACTCGCAGTTTCTGCGATGCGATGCGCAAGTTATGTCGAGAATATGATCCCGATATGAGCCCGAAGATGAAACTTGATTTTCTTCTCCGCTCGGTTAATCCGACTTATCGTCCGGAAATATTAAAACTTAAACCAACAAGTGCTGACGCATTTGAACAAATTGCAATAGATGTTGAACATACGTTTATTACTTTAACCGCATATGAAACCTATACTCCATCAACGGTTACTACTTATACTTCTTCACCACCATCAGGTGCTAATTATATTGCACCACAACAATCACCTGCATCGAACTATCCTTATCGCGGCCGAAATAACTTCCGTTCGAATCAACGTCCGCCTTTTAACACAACTTTTCGTCCATTTACATCTTCACCTAACTATTATCAAGGTCGTCGACAATCTTCAAACTTCAATTCACCCCAGTTACCTCGACCACAACAATTCGTCGCCTCTGCCTCCGCTACTCATACAGTACCACCTTCATACCAATCGCTACCACCCCTCATGCCTCCATCTTCTGCTCCACCACCACCACCACCACCACCTCCACCTCCAGCTGCACTTCTACCATTACATCTATTGTCTTGTCAGTGGTGCAACCAGCAAGGACATTCAGCTCGTGACTGCCCTTTTTAAAGTTGGGGTCAGAGTCTGATGGTTCTGTCTCCAAGCCGTCTCCTGCAAATCCATCACCATCTGCCTTACTCAATGCTTCTCTTCTCGTTAATAATATTCCGCTTCAAATACTTATTGACACAGGTGCGTCTGCTACCTGTATCAGTAAATCAGCTTTATCTCGTCTGCCCCATGTTCATTTCCTCGATCGAACACCTCGTTCTTTCTTGCTCGCTGACGGGTTTCTGTCACTTCACGTGCTCGGCAACGTTCAACTCTCTATGCAACTTGGCGCCGAGATCATATCCTTCTCTGCACTTGTTACTGAACACCTATGCGTCGACCTCATCTTGGGCATCGATTTTCTTACTTTCTTCGTTGCCAAAATTGATGTGGATCTTCGTCAACTTTCACTCAAACACAATGGTCGTTGGATTACTCTCAATGTTGATGACACGCTACGTTCTTCATTCGTGCCTATTCGGTCCGTTTCGAACGTTATTTTGCCGTCAAAATCTACCATAGACATTGTTGTCTCTTCACTTGTTTCGTCGTTATCCTCCATCCTTATTCCTACATCTATTTTTTTAGAACAGCCCCATTTATCAACACCACAGAAAAATCTTAACATTCAGCATCATGTATCTTCCTTATCCGTCACAAATCACTCAGCTGTTACTCAAACTATTCCCCACGATTTCTGCTTCGGATATCTTCAATTACCTCCACCTAGCAAATCGTTTTCTGAACAGATTTCTGATCTTTGTGCGAAACACAATGCGAACAAAAACAAACACATTCGTTCTTCAACTCTGATCAATCAATCACCACTTCAACAACGTAATTCTACCACAACTCCATCTCGACCACGAATCTTATCCAAATATCTTCAAGCGTCAGTTATCACTACTCATCCATCTTTCGCTTCGTCTTTAGCCGCTGATCTTGCTAAACTTGTCGAACACCTATCCGATACAGCTGAACGCAATTCGGTTTCGTCTCTTCTGTCTCGGTTCTCAAGTATTTTTGATACTTCGAAACACAACATCTCTAATATTGTCATCGACCAGGTCTTCAATACTATTCCTCACTCTCCGCCAGCTCTTCGACCACATCGAAATCCGCACCACCGGGAAGAGACACAAAAACTAATTGATGAGTTTCTCGATGCTGGAATTATTCATGAATCACACTCTCCCTACGCTGCTCCTGCCTTTATTGTGCCACGCAAAGGGAATCGACCAGGTCGGCTGGTGGTCGATTATCGTGCTCTTAACAAAATCACCATCTCCGATGCTAGCCCTTTACCTCACATCGAAGATACTTTACAAGACCTTGGAAAAGGTTTTAAATACTTTTCCAAGCTGGACCTAAAAACCGGGTACCACCAGTTTAGAATTCCACCACAAGATCGTGAAAAAACTGCCTTTGTCGTTTCTTTCGGACACTACGAATATTCCGTACTTCCTATGGGGCCGACAAATGGTCCCGCGTGTTTTCAAAAAACGATGTTCAATCTCCTGAAACCTTGCTATGACTTCGCGCGAGTTTATCTTGATGATGTTATAATCTATTCAACCACTTTACAACAGCATCTTCATCATTTAAACCTCGTTTTTACCATCTTTAATAGCAATAAGATTGTTCTTAGTCCCACGAAATGTGAGATCGCCGTTACTAAGGTGGAGTTTCTTGGACATATAGTCTCTGAACATACTCTTACTCCTACTACTACAGCTATTCAAGTTATACTCGATCTCCGCGAACCTCGTACCCTCAAGGAAGCTAATAAATTCTTAGGGGGATTAGCGTATTATCGTAAATTTGTTCCTGAATTTGCGCGTTTGGCTGCCCCTCTTCACAAGATAACAAATTTAACTCGCGACAAACGCCATTTATTCAAGTGGACTGATGAACACTCGAGAGCCTTTGTCGCTTTACAACATATGCTCACAAATGAACTGTATCTTCATTTTCCCGTTGAGGGTTATCCTCTACATCTATCAACAGATGCCAGCGGCATCGCTACCGGTGGAGTATTGTTTCAAGAAATCAATGGAGAACGTCGTAATATATTTTATCATTCGAAACTTCTCTCTGCAATCGAGAGAAAATATTCGGTACCCGAGCAGGAAGCTCTGGCAATATTTCAGTGCTTACAACGAATGCGGACTTATGTTTTGGGAAGAATTATTTATGTTCATACTGATCATTGTCCTATTTGTGGCCTGTTACAAAAGCCGGTAAACAACCGTCGTATCGAGCGCGTCGCGAACCTTATTCAGGAATATAATATTGCAGAAATGAAACACATTTCAGGTAAAAGTAACTGTTTACCCGATTTTCTCTCTCGACCCTTCGATGATCCTCTCTTTGATGTACCTTATGGTGTTGAAAGCAAACAACCACTGTCGTCTCTCTCTATGGCATTGCCTGTTACACCAGGTATCTCGCCTATGGTTCTTCGTCCTCGTCTTAAACTCACTCCTATTGCCGATGTCGCTATTCCAGACGATGAATTCAAGACCGACACCGACGATACGGTCGATTCGACGTCTTCTTCTCCGATTCTTACTTCTCCATCACCAAACACTTTTAATTGTCATGCTTTAAAACAAGAACAAGATAATGATCCTGATATTCAGCTCATCGTTGCTCAGCTCCATAATCCGGATACTGCATCGCACACGTCTTCTTCTTTTCTCATTAAGGATGATCTTCTACACAAAGTTGTTACATTGTCTCCTACTTCACCTGTCACAACTGCAGTACCTTATCTTCCCACTTCAATGATTCAATCGCTTCTAACGGCTATGCACGATGATCCTTATCAAGGTGGACATTTTTCTACTGATAAAATGTATTCAAAACTGGCTTCTCGTTACTGGTGGCCTCACATGCGTGACTCTCTTCGACTTCACGTTCAAGCATGTACTCTTTGTCAACAATACAACTACAATCGTCAGAAAAAACCCGGTCATCTTCACCCTATTCCTCCCACCAATATTCCATACTCAGTGATCAGCATGGATTTTTGTGGTCCTTTCGTTGAATCTCCTCGTGAGAATAAATTTGTTCTTATCATTTCGGATCTATTCACACGTCATGTGACAGCTGTCGCCACCTCAACTAATACAGCCGAAATTACTGCTATGGCACTTTATCGCGAAGTTTTTTGTCGTTATGGAGTCTGTTCTACATTGCTTACTGATCAGGGTACCCATTTTAACAACAATCTCATGCGTGCTCTAACTCATCTTTTTGGTTATAATCACATATACAGCACTGCCTATCACCCTCAAACTAATGCAGTCACTGAACGTTTCAATGCGTCATTCAAGGTACAAATTTCTAAACTCGAAGACAAACACCATCACAACTGGGATGATTATCTCGACCCTGTTGTTTTTGCATACAATACTGCAAAACATAAAACTACACAATTTTCACCTTTTGAATTACTTTTTGGTCGTTCACCGCAACTACCCATTGATCTTCCTCCACAATTTTATACTTTTGCTCGTCCGAATATTTGCTTTGAAAATCTTCAACGAATTCTACAAGTTTACCATCAACAAGCTCAAAATAACATTATAGCTCAACAACAATCTAATAAAGTACGTTATGATAAACATCGATCTGATCCTCATTTTCAAATTGGCGATCACGTCTTTACGAAAATTTTTACTGCACGCGGTTCATTAGATCCTCGTTATTCTTCAGAACCATCTATTGTTACTGAAGTACGTCATCCTACTTATTTTGTTCGTAATGAGTCTACTGGCGTTGTGAAACGTTTTCACGTTTCTGACATACGTCCCGTTATTGAAGCTTATAACTTCGATTCCACCACATACTGAATCATCTCCACCACAATGAACCACGTCTACTACCACATCCGATGAAACATTTCTTAACTTGCTTTCCACGTGTAATCTAGCTGATCCAAAATCATCTACTACTCTTACTGAAACAATATCGAACGAACATACAACAAAATTTTTTTTTTTCTTCTTCTCTTTTTCATTTCTTTTCGTTTTAGTTTCTTGTCAAAGAGGGGAGGTGTTAGCGATGACTCAAGTCATCACTCTTTCTATGCATGTTTTATTAAAAATGTGATACGTAATCACATTTTTCCCCTTTTCTTTTCTTTTTCTTTTGAGTTAAAAATGTAATCATATATTACATTTTTCCCTTTTTCGTTTCTTTTTCTTTGAGTTAAAAATGTAATCATATATTACATTTTTTTCCTTCTTTTCTTTTGGTATATATACCATTCATTTTCTTTGATAAGAATACGTGTTCCTTGTATTAAATAAAATCTATGAGATATACTCATATACAATTTTATTTATTCTCTCGTAGCCCTACAGACAGGCTAACA